GAAAAAATGCTCCACATTCCTAGCCATCCGTAAAATGCAAATTAAAACAACACTGAGATACCATCTCACCCCAGAAAGAATGGCTATCATAAAGAAATCAACCAACAACAAATGTTGGAAAGGCTGTGGGAAAAGGGAAACCCTTCTCCACTGTTGCTGGGAGTGTAGACTGGTGCAACTGTTATGGAAATCAGGGTGGAGACTCCTTAAAAAACTAGGACTGGAAATCCCATTTAAACTAGCTATTCCTCCACGCTTGGGGGATTCCTCTAGCATCTGTGCTTGCTATCTGTATGACTCCAGATCAGCCGCCACTTTGCTCGCCATGGACCTCAACTGCTCCTGCGCTGCCGGTGGTTCCTGCACCTGCGCCGGCTCCTGCACCTGCAAAGAATGCAAATGCACCACTTGCAAGAAGAGCTGCTGCTCCTGCTGCCCCGTGGGCTGTTGCAAGTGTGCCCAGGGCTACGTGTGCAAAAGGGCTTCTGACAAGTGCAGCTGCTGTGCCTGAGCCGAGCCCTGCTTCCACGTGTACATAGAATGACAGAAACAACTTGTATTCTTTTTTTACAAAAAAAAAAAACCTGACCCATTAGCTACGTTTCATTTTGTATGAAATTATGTGACTGATAATAAAAGTCGTTAACTGATTTCCAAAAAATAAATAAATAAATAAATAAATAAAAATAAACTAGCTATTCCTCTACTGGGAATTTTCCTGGAGGAACTGAAAGCATCATATCATAGTGATATATGCGTACCTGTTTATAGCAGCACAATCTGTGATAGCCAGATTTTGGAAACAACCAAGATGCCTGTCACATGTGGAATGGTTGAAAAGATGTGGTACTTTTATGTAATGGAGTATTACTCAGCTATAAAGAATGATAAACTCGAAACCTTCATATTTATGTGGATGCCACTTGAAGATATAAGTGAAATAAACCAGACCCACATCTGTAAACATCATATTGTTCCCTAGTATAAGAACTTAAAAGAGGAATTATATATAGAAAGTTACAACACAAATAAAAGGAAAGCGAGAACTTGAGGATTGGACAATGAGGAGCGGGCAAGGAGAAAAGCTGGGAAACATGACAGGGGCAAAGCCATACATTTGTATGCATGAGATGGGTGGAACAGTGATCCTGGGGTACATCAGTAGGTTTTTGAGACTACCTGTTGGATGGTGGGACTCTCACCCTGAATAACTGTATATGCTGGTGGCCCCTGAGCCAGGCGGCTGCACTGAGGATGGTGATGTGTAATAGAGGGTCACACTTGGAGGGCTTGCCATCCTAGTCTTCTAAATATGTACATCTTGTCATGACATACCATTTATTACCATAATGTCTCTCAAATAAAGGCTTTTTTTTTTTTTAAAAAAAAAAAAAAAGGTAATAAATTGAAAAAAAAAGACAAGAATAAGAAAAAAATGTCAAAAATAAATAAGTAAATAAAGCTGAGTTTCTTAAGGGAAACTAAAATAAATAAATAAATAAAATAAAAACTAGTATAAATCTTCAAAATAAAAAAAACTGACATCTTCCAGTAATTAGTCAAAATGGAAAGAGGAACCCTATGTATATTTCAAGGTCTTTTATTTTTTGTGTTTTTTTGGTTTTTTGCGGAACCGCGGATTGAACTCAGGCCCTTGTGCTTGCCAGGCAAGCACTTATTCTACTGAGCCATCTCCCTGGCCCCCTTCAAGGTCTTTTAGAAAGCATGGTCCTGTTCCTTTGGTCATATATCTGTGAATCTACAAAAAGGGTGGTATTACATTAAAGGAATGGGTACTGTGCAAAATGGAATGCTACACAAATGTTACAATGGCAACTGAAAAAGTCCACAATGTCACACAGCATGCTGCTGGTATTATAAACAAGCAAGTGAAGGGCAAGATACTTGCCAAGAAAATTAGTGTGCATGTCAAGCATATTGAGCTTCTTCAAATGTGTCAAGGAAAATGATAAGCCAAAAGGTACCTGAATTCAACTGAAGTGCCAGCCTGCCCCAGAGAAGCACACTTTGTGAAAACCAATGGGAAAGAGCCCGAGTCAATGAAACCTATTCCTTACGAATTCATGGTAAAAGCTGGAGATGTGGCTCTGCCATTAAACACCTAACTAGCAGCTAGCATTCTAGGCCCTGCTTAAAAATTAAAACTTGTAAGGATGAATTGTAAAGATGGTTTTCTTAATTCAACGGGGGTGTAGTGCCTTTACCTCGGAGGAACAAGTATCAGGAACAAATTCTCACTGTACCTAGTTAGTTGTGTCAGGTCTTTACTCTTCACTGTTTTTTCTTGCTGGAAAATGTGAGGTATTTGGCAGGTGTATACACAAATAATTACATACTGGTGTGAAGATCCTCTAAATCACCATGGGAAAAAGATGTATCAAAATAAATAGAAGTCAGTGTGACTGCTCACAATTGGTGATTCTGTTTGCCATATATGAAACCACCTAACCCGCCAATATACAGTAGTTAAAAGTAACTAGGTGGCTGTAGCTGTAGAAGGAAAGTCCTCTTTACGATGCCAATTACTTTAGCTGCTTCTAATTTACTCCGTTGGTGAAGAAAGGATTGCCACCCTGGGGTCTGGAAGGATTGAACTGGGTAGGTAAGAGTCACATGAGTTTATCAGTTACACATGCTCGCAGATTAGGTTAAGGGCACCACATGCAGTGCAGAGACCCACAGGTGGCTACTTGGAAGCACAGTGAGAAAGCAGGGTCTGTGGTTAGCATTATGCACAATCAAGAGGATATTGGGCATCTTTATTGGGGAGCACATAATGAGCCTGTGTGAATATCCTTGGTCCAGGAGGAAGTTAACCTTGCTATGCAGAGACAAGAGGAGAGCACAATCCATAGGCAGAGGTTCATCTGGCCAGGGTACACTACCTGCAGGGCAGATCAAGGAGTGAAATGTATGGCTAGGTCATTCAAGGCCTTTTCAGTTTAGCTATCAAAGACATGATAAATTGGGCCTAATTTCAGGCCATAGTTACTATAATTTATATAAGACATATACAAAAGCAATTCAAACACCCATTAATGCTATCTGTTGCCTCAGGGCAGAAACATGACTGAGAAAACATTTGTACACAATCAAAATGATACGAAGGAACCTCAGACTTAAGACAAAAGACAGGGCTTAGAAAAGCAAAGTAAGGGCCAGTCAGATAGCTCAGCAGACTAAAGCACAGGGACCAGGGTTGCAGCCCCGATGTGCTGGTCCCTGCACCCAGGGAAGACTGAGACTGCGATTGAGACTGGGCATGGTGGCATGATCCTGTAATCCCAGCTCTTAGGAGGCTGAAAACAGGAGGATCACCATGAGTCTGATCGGTGTAGTGAGGGCCCGTAGACTCTGTACTAGATACATTAAAAAAAAAAAGAAAGAAAGAAAAGCAAAACGGTGGTAATATGCTCAGCATTTGTCACCCTAAGAAGTTGGAGAAATTGTTTCCTTGTCTCCTGTCCCCATCTCATATGGAAAAACTTCATACAGATACACCCATCTGCTGCACACAGCTGCTTGGTTAATTATTTAATACACTTTATTTCTTTTTAAAGTATTTTAGGATTACAGAAAATTGAGCAGAAGACAGAGAATTCCCACATAATCATTCATACTTCTTCCACAATTTGCAATACTGCTAACATCTTGTACTGGTGTGTTATAACTAATACAACTGATGAGCCAATATTGAGAGGACACTTAGGGTGGAAAAAGAGGTTTGTTAATATTATATAATGTGCCATACATAGTTTACATTCAGGTTTACTCTTAGCAACATATTTTGTGTAGGTTTTGACAAATGAGTGACATATATGCATCTCTACAGTCCTGTATTGTCAGCCCCCCCAAATCTATTCATTCAGTTCTTGATCTATTCATTCTAAAACAGAGCATTAAGAATATTTTCATTCACTACCCGGAGTTTGGCAATCAGCAAGACTTCATGGAAACCAGCCTGTACCTTGTGTATTAATGTAACTAATTGGCAATAGGAAATGGTAACTAATTTGTAACAGATTAAGAAATCTTTTATAACCTGCAGAAACTGAAAAGCATTTGCTCATCTGCACGAACTAAAAAGCGTTTGATCAGTAGGCAGTATGGATCAGAATGTGCATCATCTGATCCTTCCATTGTACACCCACCAGTCTGGAACACTTACCACCTGTATAAATCTCCTAAATCAAGTCAAGACAAGATGAGCCTTGTGTTATTTATCTTCTCTAGGAAGATTTTGGAATAAAGTTGCTTTCCTTGCTTCAACATTTTGTCTTTAGACTTAGGTGGCCTGTCATGAGGCAAATGGCCCGATCTCTCACTTGGTGAGTCGCCTAGAAGGGTGGCTCCTAATGGTTAGAGATCCCAGTGATAGGCCAGCCTCTGGACCACACCTAGCAGCTGCTGCAATCTTTTTGTTCTATGGACCTCTGTGCTGCCTTCCTTGGTCATGGCTTAGGCTTCCCAAGCACCCTCTATTGACTGGAGTTGGGTAAGTGGATTCGTCTTCATTAAGTCACTCCAGTGTGTACACCAATAACTCCTATCTCCACCACCTAGGTAATGTGTAAGGAGGTCAATATCTCACTGTTTAGGCTTTTGCAGTTCCAAACTTTGCAGATTCAACAGTTGTTAAGACTTTGTACTCAGTTTTGTATGGTGGCATTGTTTTTTGGGGGGAGGTACACATATAAACTAGTTGACGGAAAGCTCAATATCTGTCCAAACTGATGCTGAAAAGGAGAGAAAAAAAAATTCACCTTTGTTTTTCCTCAGGGCCAATAGGATAATCCAGGTGCAGCCTAAATCAAAGCAGGTGATCTTCAGTGACTAAACACAGATGATCTGGCCTGCAGACCTAGAGCCACCTTGACCTGCAACACAGAGCACCTGTGCTTGGCAGAGATGGTGACTGCTGTGAGAAAGAGCTAAAGCTGGTCTCCTGGACTGCAGACACAGGGGATGGAAGGGACATGTGTAGTGGTACAGCGTTTAAGTGGCTATGGCACACAACTTCAACTCAGAGGAGCAGAGTAGCTGGTACTGAAGAAAGCTGAACCAGCTGGAAGTAATGGCACTGTTGTAGGGTCAAACTATAGGTGTTCTTGTGCAGGACTTGAGCACCAGACCCAGGGACTATGAGCCTAGCTTTCTTAAGAATTCATGTATCTCCCAATACATCAGCGGCAGCAGGTTGGACCTACTGGGGCCACCAGCACCCATTGAGCCTCCCTCCCGGGTGAACCTTTCTAGCACCCAAAAAGGAGATCAAGAATTTGATTTATTCCCTAATTTGGGAGGATTCTATAAGATCCCCCAAAACACGCTATTTGGGTACAACATTGGTATAACCAATGTTATACCAATAACATTTTTCAGATTCAAAAAAGTTAGTGACGTAATTCTCAGGCAGGAGGAGGCAGAGTATATGTAGGCACTCTTTAATAGGTAGGATGATTAAGATTTTTCCTTTAAGGGAAACTCCTGAGAATCCAAGATAAGCCTGAAGAACAGAGGGGAATATAGGAGTCAACAAAACCAGAGCTGGAGGATTTAACTCCCTTCAGTGATGTACAAACCTACCTCAGCATCTGTCTGACTGGAGCTCAGTGAACCAGAAAAAAGTTATGCAAGAAAAGTC